TCAGACACAAAAGGCCACATACCGCATGGTTCCATGTATGTGAAATTTCCATGGTAAGCTACTGTGTAGAAACAGAATGCAAACTGGTGGGTGGAAGGGGGCCAACAACTGCTCATCACTATTGGCTTGTATTTGGGGCTGATGAAAATTTTCTAACCTTATGTAATGGAAATGAACACACAAATCTAAAGAACTGTATATTTCAAAGTGAATTTTGTGGCATCCGGATTACACTTCAATTCTATTATGAACATAAAAATCGAAGCCAGTCGCGTTGTCTTACTCAAATTCAAGAAATTCTAAAATTTTGGAAGTACTTTTGAAAAATCCTTTAAGATTATGAGAATTTTCAACCATATACAAAAGTAAGGAGAACGGTGTGAGGAACTCGCCCGAATCATTACCCACTTCAGCAGTTAACAGGGTGTGCACCGGTACCGCTATGCGTGACATTCCGTTGAGTCATTTTTAAACAAACCCAAGCTATTGGATCTCATTTGAAATTCAATATCCATCTTTTAATTAATGGATCTTTTAAAAATAATCACAATATTATAATTTTAGCTATTCTGTAATATCAAAAATATGTATGAATGTTGTAGTTTCTCCTGTTTAATTACTAATTTGTTAGAATTGGGCTCCTAAAAAGGTGTGCACATTGCATTATATTAACTGTACTATATTTTATTATTGATATGGGCTTTTCTCCTTTCGTAACAATTTCTTTGACACTAAATGTGTTTGTGCTCTTTTTTTTTTTTTAACCCATAGGTCTTAAAAATGAGCTACAATAAAGTCCGAAAACTGCAGAGAGATACCTTTTATGGTCTCAAGAGCTTGACTCGGTTGCATATGGACCACAATAGCATTGAGTTTATAAACCCAGAGGTTTTTTATGGTCTCACCTCTCTCCGCCTGGTTCATTTGGAAGGAAATCAGCTCACTAAACTCCATCCAGATACGTTTGTCTCTTTGCGCTACCTCCAAATATTTAAAATGTCTTTCATTAAATACTTGTACTTGTCAGATAACTTCCTGACTTCTGTCCCTGAAGAGATGGTTTCTTACATGCCTGACCTAGAAAGCCTTTATCTGCATGGGAACCCATGGACCTGTGACTGCCACTTAAAGTGGTTGTCTGACTGGATACAGAGGAAACCAGGTATTTATTTGTATTGTTTGTATCTTGTCCTAATTAAATAGGAAGATAAACATGAAGGTGTTTTATGAGAGCCGTAGGTCATTTTGCTGAAGAAAAATGAAATCCCACTAACAACTCAGTGACAGTGATGTCTTTATACTGCATTAGTGCTATAGTGGTACAGTCAAGAAATTGTGTCACAGACCTGCGGTCCACAAAGCTCAAATTTTGTACTCCTTGGCCTGGTATATTAGAAGTCTGTTGACCTCTGACTTAAAGACTCAGGCCTGTGTGCCTTTCTCACGTGCCCGGTGCTCCTAGTGTGGCTGCGCGCTACTTCAGCCTCCCTTCTTTCCTTTGCCACCTTCGCCCCCTCCCTTTTCCTGGACACATAGCACTTCTTACTACAAAAAAATCTGAATTTTTTCCTGACACAGCGCCACTCTTCCACCAGCTGAGACCTGCTCTGGCCCGTTTCGGGAACCCTTCCCCTTCTCTTCAGGTTGATGTCCGTCTAGTCAGCAGTCAGCTCACTTGCTGAGCCCACACTTCTCCTTCGGGGAAGTCTGGCTGCTCCTCTACCCACCCCCTCCCTACAAGCAGATTATTCATTTTGCTACTTTCGCAGTTTGCCTATCCTTCCACTCTTGTATTGGTAACAATTTATTATATTTACTAATGTTAGATACCTGTTGCCTTTCTTATTAATTAATTAATTAATTTATGTATTTATTTGGTATAGGGTCTCGCTATGCAGCTTACACTTGTAGTGATTCTCCTCTTTCAGTCTTCCAGCGCTGGAACTACAAGCATGTGTGGCCACCATGCCCAGTTTCGGTGGCTGGCAAAGCATGCTTGGGCTTCCAGGGCCAGCATGACATGTGGTACTGGGAACTGAACCCAGGTCCTTGAGCTTGCCTGGCAGATGCTTAGACCACCAAGCTATCTCCCCAGCCCGAACCTGTTGCCTTTCTATGTCCAATTTATTTATCTTTAGTCACTACAGATGCCTGGAGCATGGTAGGTACTCAGTAACTTTTATTAAACACAGAATTAACAAAAGAGGCTTAGGGCTGGGGAGATAGCTCAGTGCTCTAAGCACCTGGATCACTATGAGTCTGAGCTGCTTAGTGAGACTCTGTACCAAATAAATAAATAAATGATTTAAAAAACGCAAAAGAGGGCCGGAGAGATGGCTCAGTGGAATAAGTGCTTGCCTGGCAAGCACAAGGACCTGAGTTCAATCCTTGGTTCCACCAAAAAAATAAATAAATAAATAAATAAATAAATAAAAATAAAAAAATAATAAAAATAAAAAAACGCAAAAGAAGGCTATAGCCATTTTGTGGTTAAACATGAAATAAATTGTGATTATAGCCACAGTTACATAGCCATTTTGATGAAGACAAATGATCCCACCACCCACTAGACACCTATGGCATAATATGCTCAAGCATTTGTGTGTAATTCTTATCTCTATTTTTTCACGTCAATGTCATTTATGAATATATATATATATATATATATATATATATATATGACAAATCCTTTAGGGATTGCATCTTTTAATTATCTCTAGATGACTGAGTGTTCTACTGTTGCCTAGGATAGCTTACTGATAGTCCTACGACACCCATCAATCATGTCAACTTTATGCTTCAAAATATTTCTTTTCCTATTCCAAGAGAATGGAAAGTTCCTCACACCTTTAGCTGTGTCACTTGACCTGCAATAAGCAATCTTTTGCAAGTATTGTGTACTTAAATGTAACTTCTTCCATTTCCTATAGGTATCTTCCATTCTTTGATTCCACAAAGCTCTTGGTACTGCTTTTCTATAAAATACAGATTTGTGGCTATTTCTCCGATAAACATCTATTTCACAAATACTAAATATATATGTCCTGCTGCTTTGTTTCCATGCATTTCTATACCCATAACTTTCTTTATTGAATAACAAATAATAGTATAAGCTTCATAAAAACAAACAATTTAGGTATTTAACATATGGCTACTTGTAGTACATGTGATAGAATGGAAGGTAACACAAAACAAGTAACCAAGACAGTACTTGCAGGAATCCAGGCAACAATAGCTATGGCAAGACTGCCTGCTGGCCAGCTGCTATCACAGAGCTTCCTCAACTGTAAGAGACATCTAACTTTATAAGTTAAAGCATCCAAAAATATTATTTTAGAATCAAGCCTTGATTCTAATTCTACTCTGTCTATTCACTCACTCCCTCTGTCCCTCCTTTCCCATCCCAGTCTTTCCTAAGCATCTCATACCAAGCTTAGAGTCTTGTGGGAAGACAGACAACTAAACATTCATTCTGAGGATGAGAGGTGAAAGGCTTAAAAGGAACATGTATAGGTACTAGGAGAACACGAAGCAGTACTGTTTGTACTAAGCTGTTGAGCAGTGTGTAGTTAGTGACGAAAGAGGACAGGTTAGACAGCAAGTGAGTGAAGGCAGAAGGAACAACGCGGGCCAGAACCTGGTGAGGCCTGATGGTTCTGGGGATCAGGAAGTGTTCTGTGAGATTGAACGTGGTGTGATGAAGGATATGGAAGTGACACAGGAAGATTTGTGCATTAGGAAAAGTACATGATATACAAGACCTGCTAACTTCAGTTCACACGCAGGCAACCATAAACATCATAAGGTACATGCATAATTTTGTGATGACATTCAGTTCAGCCTGAAATCTGTCATATTCTGTATTTTCTTAATGTCTGACCTCAGGGTACTGATTAGTAAGTTGGTGAAGAACACTGCTTGCTTGGAAGAGGTGACTGGAGGCGTTTTTCATGATTGCTCAAATCTTTTCACTCTTCTTAGCTATGCTCTCTACAGAGGTTTATACTGTAGTATTTGCTGAAGAATGCAGACTGGCCAACCATCTGTGACATTACCTTCAATACTGAAATAGAGTCTTTCCCGTCTATGTATGGGGCATATATTCCTGGACCCCCAGTGGATGCTAGAAACCTTAGTGCTGTGTAACTCAGTGCTTTGTCCATCTTAACTAAGAACTTTGAACACTCTGGACATAACTTTTGCAACTTAAGGTGCAACACATTTTCTCCTTCATTATAATTTTACAGATAGAAGATTACGCTTATACTGTGGAATCATTATTAAGTAAAATAAGAATTACTTAACACAGTGAATGTCAGACTGTGACAGTCTGTGTGATACCTGAGGCAGGAACTGAGTAAGAAGCATGAACTGTGCTTACTGGGGACACAGTGTGTCATACTGAAAAGAGGATGGGACATTGGAATAGTGTGAGACTTCACCATGCTACTCAGAACAGCAGGTGATTTAAGACTCATGCATTGTTTATTTCTAGAAAATTCCAGTTAAGGTTTTCAGACCCATGGTTGAACAAAGGCAACAGAAACTAAAGCAAGCAACACTGTGGATACAGGAGGACTTCTGCACAGGCTGAGGAGGCTGTAGTCCTTGGACAGAGCACCTTCCTTAAGCCTTTGAGAGGAAATGCACATGGGTGTCCAGGCAGTTTGACTGTGTCTAGCTACTCTGGTGAACTAGATGTAAAAATCCAAGGCTTAAATACTGTGTAGGAGCGTAGGAGCCACTGTATTGGACGGTGTGGAAATCTCAGGCTACACTTTGTGGGAGGAAAAATGCTTATCCAGTATTCCAGTGACTATTTTAAATAAGCTTACTAGAGCCGAATTTAAAATATCCATGTGGGTGATATCTGAACGCTTAAAGGGAAAGCTTTTATGATGTGGAAGGATTAGTTCTGGTCGTAAGACTTGCCAGCTTACGACTTCCCCGGAACATCAGGCCCTTAACGAGCTGCCCATCATTTGGGTGCAAGGCTGTCTCCTACCCCTTTCAACCTGACTCTGAGTTTACGTCATCAGTGGGACTGCCACAGCTCACTTGCCAAAGCCACAGGCCTGAGTCTTCCTACTCTTCTCAGCCCCCCTGCTGTGGGCTACCAACTGTTTTATCTGCGTAGTCCTTCCCTCCTGCAGCTGTCTTTCTTTCCATTCTTACATCTACCAAGCTAACCCAGGCCACAAGAGCTCATATTTCAGTCAGTCTTCTTTTGGATAATGACCAAAAAAAAGTTCAGTCTTAAATGACATTAACTTAGAAAGTTATCACTTATCAAACAGGTTACCTTTTAAAGGAAAATGGAGTTCTGTGATTGTCCTTTAAAACATGAAGAACTGTTGTTATTAAGAATGATAACTATGATCACACCATTTTTTAAATAAATATCTAAATTATTCAATTAATATTTACTGAGTAGCAAATATCTATCAGGTGTTTTCTAAGCATGGTAAATAAGACAGACAAAATCTTTGTACCTTTGAATATTATACTGTAGCAGAATATACAAACAATATCATTTTAGAAATCATTTCAGAGGCAAAACCTATGTATTACATATTAAAATTTCAAGTTTTTTTTCAAATTCTGTCAGAAATAGTTCTCAAATGTTCACTTATAAAGAAGCCATCCCTGATAATAATTCAACTGTGATTTTTCCTAGATGTAGTAAAATGCAAAAAGGATAGAAGTCCCTCCAGGTCTCAGCAGTGTCCCCTTTGCACCAACCCCAGGATCTTTAAAGGCAAGGCCTTTGCTTCGGTCCCAGCTTCAGCTTTCCAGTGTTTGAAGCCAGCTATTGACCCATCTCTGAAATCCAAGAGCCTGACTATTTTGGAAGACAATGGTCCTGCTTCAGTCTCTCCCCAGGACTTCCTGGCACCCTTAGGCTCCCTGACGTTGAATATAACAGACCAGAATGGAAATGAAGCTAACCTGGCCTGCAGCATCCAAAAGCCACAGAGATCACTGCCTACTGCATTCACTGAAGAAAATGACAACGTTGTGTTAAGTATGTCGATTTCAACATTTCTTGTGTGCAGCATGGACTCTAATCACATCCAGCCAGTGTGGCAAGTTCTGGCTTTGTATAGTGACTCTCCCCTAATACTAGAAAGGAGCCATTTGGTCACTGAAGCACCTCAGCTGTGTTACAGATATAAACAGGTAGCTCCTAAGCCTGAAGATGTTTTCACAAATATAGAGGCTGATCTTAGCACAGATCCTGCTTGGTTAATGCAAGGCCAAATTTCCTTACAGCTGGACAGGAACGCCACCACCTTCGGTACATTACAGATCCATTACTCAAGTGATGCTCAGGTCACTTCACCAAGAGCAGAGGTGAAGCCAGTAAAACATAAGTGGACCATGATTTCAAGGCTTAACAATACCAAGATGGAGCACACTCTGCTGGTTGGAGAAACCATTGCCCTGGACTGCCCAGGCCAGGGAGATCCAACCCCACACTTGGAATGGCTTCTAGCTGATGGGAATAAAGTGAGAGCCCCTTACGTGAGTGAGGATGGACGGATCCTAATAGACAAAAGTGGAAAATTGGAACTGCAGATGGCTGATAGTTTTGACACAGGAGTATATCACTGCATAAGCACCAATTATGAGGATGCAGATATTCTTACCTATAGGATAACTGTGGTAGAGCCGAATGTAGAAGCCGCTCAAGAAAATGGGATTCATCGCACAGTTTTCATTGGAGATACACTGGATCTTCCATGTCATTCTACTGGCATTCCAGATGCTTCTGTTAGCTGGGTTCTTCCGGGAAATATTGTACTCTATCAGTCCTCAAAAAACAAGCAAATTCTTAACAATGACACATTAAGAATATTCCACATTACACAAAAAGACCAAGGTCATTATTTCTGTGTAGCAGCCAATCCACTAGGGATTGATGCTTTGGCTTTTCAAGTTTCTGTCAAAATAAAAGATCAAAGGCCAGAGGAGCAGGATGTGGATGCAGATGGATCTGGTTTTGATGCACGTGATGCCAGTACCCACCACAAGGACCTACCAGCTGTGCAGCTCCCTACAGCTACTGCTGTGAGGACTGATGCTCGGAGAGTGGTCTCAAAGATAAGAAAGAAGGACAGTCATCAGGAGTTCCTACAGCGGCAGCATGGAGATTCAACAAACCAACGTTTTAGGGAACAGAGAAGGCAGTTCCTTCCCTCTGCTCGGAGAATTGACCCCCAACACTGGGCAGCATTTCTAGATAAAGCTAGAAAGAATGCTGAGCCAGAGAAACAGGAACATACCACAGCAAAGCCACCTCCACCAGTCACTCAACTTGTGAAAATATCTGCTGAAGAAGAAGAATTGTCAGGCATGCTTTCACCAGATGAGGAATTCATAGTCCTGGCAACCAGAGCTTCTAGGGTTCCAGCAACACCTCACAGCCTAGTGACAAATATAGCTTCTGGCACCAAAGTCTCCCCCCTCACAAGCCCACAAATACTGCAACCTACTATTAAAATTACAAAAAATGTAAACCCAACCATATCAAGCAAAGTGCAGGACACAACCAATCAAAATCCAGCTACCATTTTCCCATTACTCTCTGGAGTCACTGTGTTTCATGAAGTGGACCAGGAGGGGAGAAGAGAGAATTTTCTCAGTGTACCCCCAATAAAGGGAAAGCCTGTGACCAATGAGGTCCATATTAAAATGCCTGGTAACATTAACAGAACAGTAAGCACTCCCTTAGAATCAGTAAATCCTACAGATGGTCATGAAACATCTGTAACAAGAGTCAGTGAGCCGAGGAGAAATCACTTCTATTCTCACATTTCTCAAAATCCTAGAATCTCACCAGTTTCTCCAGATCCACACACTGCTGTCCATTCTCAGTTCCAGATATTCAGAAATAATACAGCTGTCATCCCATTGCCCAGACGCTTTGGAAGACGGAGGAAAATTTGGGGCAGAGGGCGAATGACCAGCCCATTTAGAAACCCAGTTCTCCGATGGCATCGATATGGCACTGTGAAGCCAGCATCCAGAGGTCCTGCTGCAGAAAGCACGACTGCATTTTCAGCTCCGGAGCTCCATGTGATGTGCCCATCCTGTCTTCCCAGGCAGAGGCTTGCCTCCACCACCACGGCACTGCTTTTTGCAGGACCTTCCCCTACCACTCTCCCCAAAGCTAACAAAGCTAGGGGCACAACAGAAGAGTCTACAACACTAATTCAGAATCCTTCATTACTGTTTGAAAATAAATCAGCTGTAGATGTTGAGAGAATGACGCCCACTATACAAAATTTCAGTCCTGGAAGTACCCAGGAAACTTCAACTGGTACAGTCCTGATGTACTCTTCAAGATCTGTAGCTATGGAGAAAACTCTTACAGTAAATAATGGTTGCCAAAGTATGTCTAGCACCAGTGAAGCTAAAAGGGATTCAGAGATCACGCTGCCCCTTTCACATTCCATTACCAAGCCACCAAAACCTACTACTATAGGCATTACAAGATTTTCAAGAAGGAAAATTCCCTGGGATCAGATATTTGTAAATAAGCATAATCCAAAAGTGTTGTTAAAGAATCTGCATAAATTTGGTTTACCAAAAAGCAAAGCCACAATGCTTCCTAAAATATCTCCTGCTTTACCCACAAATAAATTTATCCCCTTGCATTCCACAACACTCTCAGTGAGCCTGACACAAATTCCATCTGCAACTCTTAGTACAGTTCACCACAATATCACTGCAACATACAGTCCTCAGAGTATCTTAGCAAGAAGGGAGCCTCCTGTTGCACCTTTTTACCCTGTGTTTCCTAGTATCACAAGCAAAAAATCAAGTACAATAAGCTTCACATCAGTGCAGACAACACCTGCAACTCTTCCCACTGCTTCTGCATCTATAATTATCAACAAAATCCAAACAGCAATGCCCAGAGCACAAAAAGAGCAAAAAATAGAGGTGACTCCAAGTAGGAACGATCCAAATATCACTTCTGGCCAGAGTCCTGGCATCCCTACATCAGCTACTGTGCTACCCCCTGTCCTATCTACAACTAAAACATCAATCAATCCAAATATCTCTGTTGTCACCCATTCCTTCCTAGAAGACACAAGTAGAATTTTAGGCAAAATTGGCCAGCATTCAAGAACTAATGTGGCAAGTGGAACTGCAGAACTACCACAGGAGAACACTCTGACTTTGGAAGGCACAGTTGATTCAGGAACAACTTTGACTAGCAAGTCAGAGCAGAATGCCACAACTAGGAAAACTATGACAAGTCCCTCAACCATGATACCACTCCTAGGCAGCAGTGCCCCTCTAATGTCCATGCCCACCCCACCTCCCTCTACTCAAGGTGTAATTACTGTGGGGACACCTGTTCTTGCAGTGACAAACACCATGGATAAGCTTCATGAATCCTCAAGGAATGATATGAACTCACAGCAATCAGCAGCAGAATCCACAGTACCAATGAAGGTGCCCACAAAAGCTGAGTTCACAATGACAGCCACTCACTTTACCTACTCTGATCTACCACATTCTACACCTACTTCAGCCCAACACACAACAGTTGAACCACAGATTTCTAAGTGGATGCTCTTTCCTCAGCCAGAAAACCAATTTGAGCTCAAGTCACACCCCACATTTTCCAAAAAGGAAAAGAAGCCAGCAGTCAGTATGTTTCCCACTCTTAGCTTGCCTGAGCCCACTTCTCATGCTTCATATTGGGGTGGACAGAGGAACACAAAGAAGAGTGGATTTGATAAGAAACCAGTTAAGAAAATAACTTCCAAACTCCTTCCCTCTGACATTTTGTCCAGGAATACATTCGAAAAGCCCAGAATAGTTGGAGGAAACGCTGCGAGTTTTACTGTCCCGGCTGACTCAGATGGCTTGCTTCCTTGTGAAGCTACTGGAAATCCCCTGCCCACCATCCACTGGACCAGAGTCTCATCGGGTACTTGAAACTTTGCTTATACCTGTTCTTTCATTGTAACCCCAGGAAAAGATTGCATTTTGGAGCAATGTGAAATTGGGGCTGATTTTCTTCTGAAGTTTCAAAATTGCTCCAAAATATAGAAAATATTAATATTCTCATTGGACTTTTACATATTTTTGCTCACTAAATTTTTTTCATTTTATGTATTTGGTACAGGGTCTCACTATAAAGCTCAGACTCATATTGATCCTCCTGTTTTCATCCTCCCCAGCACTGGGATTATAGTTAAAGCCAGG